TTCTCGATGTTTCGAGCTTTGCGGATGATAAAATTTGCCTGTCATGGTGTTACGATGGCTTATGCACGATCTGCGGTTTTTTAAACTCCAGTTCGGTGGAACCTCCACTTACACGTGTTGTCTCCAGTGACTGGCGTGATGCTAAAAAAGGCGCCCAAGAGGTGCTTTAACAATTAACTCAATTTTTAAAATTGCCTGTAAACCGGCAATGAATAAATAAATAAATCTTCTAAATTCCCAACTGTCCTTTCTCGGAGTCATAGAGAAAGCTGCTCGGAAAAAAGTGGGGAGATCAAAAGGTTAATAGAATCAGTGTTAAGATAAATGTGCAGTCTTCGCTTGAAAGCTGATAGACAAGTTAACGACCTTATTTCAATAAGTAACTTGTCTCTTGAATTCACCCGTGAGTGCCTATCTTCTTTATGCACTCCATTTAATACGCATCTGCATCAGTGCCTATCAGCAGTGGTCTGTAGACGGTGACGGCTTCTAGGGGCTGCAACTCCGGTGCCTTTATTGTCAGCCAAATAGCCTTCGTACTATCGGTAATATTTTGGCACTCTCGCATGCACTTAAGCGTCTCTTGACGTACATACCAACTCCTTCCCTATGACGTTCCACCCTGTCTCGCCTAAATGATTGGTATCCAGACAACACTTCTTCGGAATTATTGATGCTCTGTGACAGCCATGTTTCAGCTTTTGCTATGATATCAGGAGACAAATAGGCTTCTTTTATTTGAAATTCACCGAACTTCGATACTTGGCTCTAAGCGTTGGTATACAGACATTTTAGTCGGCAAAATTCCTTATTATCTAGTTCATTTGGGCACGAGTTTTTCAATACTGCTGGGCAGTAGCCATAATTAGTATTGGCTTCTTCCAGGGCGATATCGTGATTTTCTGCATTATTTGTCCCCTGAAGATGGCCAGATTGATCTATCCAGCTACTAATTCTCGGCGTTTCAGACGCTCCGCTGGAGATTAGTCCGGCCAAAAGCGGCTTATGTGAGTGGTGATAGCATTTTTTCAGTGGCCTGGTCAGTTCGAACATTATGACTGCGGTCACAAGGGTATACGCACGCAGATAAATCTTTGTGAATTGTAACTTTAATACAAAGTTATGAAAAGGCAACATTTATTGGCGTTGCGACACGTATGACCTTGCGTGCTTCTTAAAAAAATTGGGGTGTAACAAGGACCCCACACTGCACATGTTATTTTAGGATTTTCTAAAACCTACGGAAACTTGCGTAGGCTTGCATAGGCTATCTTCTAATATTTTTTATGTTCAATCCCTTGCATACTTTACTCTGTGAATCGGTCTCTATATGGTAACTAAAATCCCACTCATAAGGATCTTAAAGTAACAACGATCTGGCGTCTACCAATCAGGCGAAGGTGCGTCCGTACATCTAATGGGCCAATGAAAATGTAACATTCGTTCTTCCCCGGTTTGCATTTGGTCAACAGTCTGTAGGGAGAGTCCTCATACAGATGAAGTGGTTCCCGTATTTCTTGCTGTTGAATTCAATAGTACTATGTGTCGATCGGAGCAACTTCCGAACCTGCAAAGACAGCTCGTAAGTTTTCATTAGAAATCTTCCCAAAAGCCTAGATTTTGCACCCGACAAAGGGAGTATTGGCCAGACGCTCCCAAATACTATATTGATGAAAGGAGCGTTCAGACATCTAAAGACAGTCTTACTTTGACTGCGACAAGCGAAAAAAATG